GGCACCATATGCAGAGCTGGCTTTAGGGTTGGTGCTCAGCTCCCTCCCCCCACACCAAAGGTCTGGCTTTGCTTTCTCCAAGGGGTGTGTCTGCCTGAACAGGTTGGGGCTGGCAGTGTTCCCAGCTGGGGAAATGGAGTCTTTTTGTATCTGAGGGCCTGGGGCAGGCTTACAACTCAGGGATTGGGTATCACCGGGACAGGCTGCCAGGGAGATCAGGCCTGCAGACACGTTGAGAGGGAGTCAGGCTTCTCGTCCTGGCCCAGAGACAGGCTTTGGTTCATTGTGCAGGCACAGGAGGACACCAAGTAGCATAGAACAGGAGCCAAAATCTAGCCTTAGTTCATCTGGGGATGATAGCAATGACTCCTAAGGTGAGATAGCACTGGGATATTTTTGCAAAATATGTCACTAACATGTTTTTATAAATGTAGGATTCACTGAGTACTGACTTTGTGCCAGGCCTGTGCTGAGCACTCCACGTGGACTGTCAGTTTTAAGCTTCGTAACAAGGATCCTCGTTTTACACATAAGGACTGTAAAGTGTGGGTGGAGAGAGGTATGTTCAAGGTCATACAGTTAACTACAGGCAGATCTAGGCTCAAACCCATGTGCTTGAATTTCTGTTCGGAAAAGGCAGCAGGATGCATGGAAAACGCAGATTTTGAGTTTCACGGGCTGGAAGTTTTAGTGTTCTCATCTATAAAATGGGGATAATAATGCCAACACTGATGAACTGTCAAAAGTAATAAATAAAATAAGATATATAAGACCTGGCGCATGGCAGGTAGTTAATAAAAGTTCTTTTTTGGCCTCTTCTCCCTCTTTCCCCTCTATTGAGCAGGAGCCGTTTCTCCTTGTGTTAAGTTGGTGTGGCCCCAGCTCTGCTCTAGCTTGAAAGCTTCTGGGAGAGCATCCATTCTCTGGGACCTATGCTGCTGGCTGAGGCAGAGGCAGCTGGAAGAGCCTTAGGCTACTGCTTCTGCAGTTCCACAGAGTCACAAAGTACTGTAAAAGAAGAAACTCAGCCGTCATCTCATGAAGCTCCTCATTATACAGACAAGGAACCCAGAGACCAGAGAGGGCTGAGGGACACAGGGCTCGTCAGGTGCCCAGAAGGGCTAGTATCCAGGAGTTCCCACTCCAGTCCCATGCCCCCTCCTCAGCGCCTGAGGTTCCCTTACCGCCTTCTTACTCTCATTCCCCTGGCTGAGGCGGGGAGGGGTCAGCGGTGCAGAAGGACCCTCTATTCTCTGTAGATACTATATCTGGGGGAAAGCCATGGTCTCCAGGGCAGGAGGCCTGTGGGGACCCACTAGGGTCAGGCTGAAGCCAGTCCCAGTACCAATGGAGGAAGGAAGTCCCCACTACAGAATAAAGGGGAGCCGCAAGGGAGGTGCCTCTGCTGGAAGAGGCCAGCTTCTTTTAGAATTCCTCGGGCCTTGGCAGGCTAGGGGTGGGCTCTCCTAGCTGGAGGGGTGAGTCACTCTGCCTGGCCTTGCCCAGTCAAACTCAAAGTTCAGCATTCTGAGAGGTGAGCTTATCTGTGTGTGGGCTGGGGTGGCGGATTGTGAGGGAGGAAGTGGCTGATGTGGCTGTCCCAGACTGACTGGCTATGTGTCCATTCCCTGAAGAACCTCTGCCATTTCCTCTCACTTTTCTGGCTTGTCAAGCCCAGTGAGTCAGCTCCTTTCTTCTGCTGTGGGATTGTGGATGAAAAGGGAGCCACACATTAAATCTGACAAGTTCAGGGAAAGTCAGCATGGCAGGCCCTACAAAAACAGAGACTGAAATTAACCACGTAGGATGGTCTGAACGTAAAGATTCCTAAAAGCAGATTGAGGCAGGTAGTCATAGCCTAGGCCTGTAACTTCCTTGACAAAGGTCAGTCTTTACCTTAGTAAGCCTGTCTATCGTCTTTTTGCATCTAAAATAACATACTCCTGGAATGTCAGCGTAATCCCCTTTTCCTGGACCCCTCAGGGCACACCCACTGCACCAGCACACAAGACCACAGAACCCCTCATTGTTATCTTGTTCCCCAAATACCATCTCTATGTGCTGCAAATGTTAATTATTGACTATCTTCTACCCACTAATGTAAAGGAAGTATGTGTCTCTCCATTTTTCTTTTTAACCAGTCCTAGAGATTTCCCCGCTTTGCTTCCTCCCACCCCCTTAATCTACCACCGATGGATTTCCAGTAACCCTCCTTTCGTATCCTCCTTTGATTCTAATGCATAAAGCAAGCTGCAAAACCGCCCTTCTCTAGAACATTTACTCACTCTTGAGATTTTGCATCTTTGCAATCGTTATCAGTTTGGCTTAAATAAACTCATTAAAATTCTCTACAGGTTTGGATGAGTCTTACGTTGACAGGGTCTACAGAAGGGCCACAGTCTTCTCCAATTTCTAGGGGTGTCAAAGCAGGTGGCCCTGGCTCATGTGGTAATAAATGAGGATGAGCCCTCTCATAAGTACAATTCGAAAACCCTCCTCAGTAGACTCTACCTGTGTCCGGGAAGAAGGTGGGGGAAGTCACACCCATTTTACTGAGTGTGACTGAGGCTTGGAGAGGCCCAGTGACTCACCTAATCCCACAGTTTCCAAGTCTCATGCTCTTTCCACTCTACTCAACTGCCCTCCTGATTTCAGGCTCTCTCCAGCTGGCCCGGGCCCCCTTTAAAGCAATTATCCCATGCCAGTTCATGGAACCCAAGGGCAGGGGCAGCCACCAACGCAAAAGTTAGAGCAGGCAAAGAAAGGACAGTGAGACTACTTTCTCATAGAGGCCCAGTGGTTCCAGACCTCCTGCCAGAGGTCCTGGACCCATTGGGCCTGACTGTTGGAGGAAAGTCACCTCCAAGGCCCCTCTCTGGCTGGGTGAGCTTCACAGCCTGCAGACATTTAGGAGGGCGTCTGAGCCTTACTTAGTGACTGTCTACTTGACCTTGGCTCTTTACATGCAATACCCTAGCTGGATTCAGAAGGACAGAGCTCCCAAATGGGCACAACTCCATGGATAGGCTTCAGACAGTCAGCCCGAAGCAGTGCCGAAGAGAGTGAAATGCTTGGCCTCCAGGAGATGCATCAGCAGAAGGTCCTTGTGAGGGGGTGAAAGCATCCACAGAAAGAAGGAGCCATTTCACAGGAAGGGGTCCTATGCCAAGGCCCAAGGACAGGGTAAAGAGACAGCCTGCCTGGTGGCTTTCTCTCCTTTGGGTATGTGACACCCGCCACCATCCCAGCCAGGGCAACCTGTCTCTCCAAAGCATATACAAACTTGCAGAGTGGGCAGAGTGGCCTGTCCAGTGGAGAACTGACGTGTGGTCCCAGCACAGCAGGCAGCATGTGCATACACACACTTCCTCATTCACTATCTTAGTTCTCCCAAGAACCGGGGAGGAAAAAGCGCTCACCTTACAGGCCAAGAAACTGCAAGAGGCCACTAGAGACTCAACCCGAACCTCGCGTGCCCCTGGCTCCAGGAGGAAAACAAGCAGGGCAATAGCAGGATCCCGTGGGCTGGGGCAGAGGCTTGTTGCCCAGTCCCAGAGGGAGGGCGCTCTGAGGGCGGGGAGGGGAGATGTCACTTATAAGATTGCATCTTCCATGGGTACACGCTTGTCTGTTCTTGTCTGGGGGGCTGTTAGAGGAAATCCCAAGGAAGAGGGACTTTTGGGTACTGCAGCTGTAAAGGAACAGGACTGCACTAAAATGCGGAGACCTAGGTTCTAGTCCCTGCTCTGATCAGCCAGCTGAGTCACAAAAAGAAACTTCTCTTGGGACCTTGACTATAAATTGTGGGGATTAGAATGGATGATTTCTATGTTCCTAACAACTCCAAATGCCCTGAAAAATGACTAGAGAAGTCCCCCACCTCATCCCATATTGCTGGTTAAGAGCATAGATTCTACAGTCAGGCTACTAAGGTCAAATATAAACTCTGCCACTTAAGTGAAGTTGAACTTGGGCAAGCAAGTCTACCTTTCCATATCCCAGTTTCCTGATCCAGGGACAATGAGTTTTTCTACCGCAGAGGGTAGTTCTAAGAATTCATTAAATTAACACATGAAAGGTGGCCAGAGCAGGCCCTGGCACATGGTACTCTCTGTGTACCAGCTGAATAGCACTTTATTATGGTCACATTCTTGTCTGTCTGTCCCTGTCAAAAACTGCAGGTCAGAGTGTGATTTCAAATTGATAATTAATTCTCATCAGGATGTACCCAGCCACGCTCCCAAGTTCTTTCTCTCTGAGAGCATCTTTCTCATAGTCTGGCTTTAAAACAGTTTAGGGTCCAATTCTGGGACTTGTCTCAGGCAGGGAGGCTCCTGAGAGGCCCCACATCAGACTACAGGGCAGGGGACAAAATCAAAGGTTGGGCTTCCTGCCTGGGAGCTTCTTTCCTGCCTTTTAGACAATCTCCAAGGCCAAGGGCTACTGGCTTCACCAGGCTTCCTACCAGACCGGTTTGGAGCTTTTAAAGAAGGAACTGAGTCAGCAGTTTACCCCAGTAGTAACAAGCAATATCAACTTTCTTTGGGGACAGCAGCCCTGGAAGACTTATGGCCATAGTAGAATGTAGGGTGATTTGTTCATTCATTTCTTAATTGAGATGTAGATGGGGGCACTCAGGTTGAATCTCCTTTATAGCTATGGCTCGGCAAAAGGAGTGATCTTCAGGAGGCCAGAGAGCCTGGGAGACCAGCATAAGACACAGACAGATACAGCTAGCCAGAGTCTAACCAGAATCTGAGTGGGGACCACTCAGAGCTCCACTTCTTATGGAGAAGGGTGGACATTTTGATTGCCAAGTGTGTGCACATCTGTCTCCTCCACCTCAGATTCTAAGCATCTCAAAGACAGGCACCTTCTCTTAGTCACTTCTGTCTCCTTCCCTGAGTCCAGACAGTGCCTCATACACTGTCGATACCTTATGTGTGTCTGGCGAATTGAGTAAGATATGTCTCTCCCAGACCTCTCTTCTGGGGGCATTTCTCACATCACTGATGGAGTGTGCTAGAAACAAATATCTCGAAAATGAATAAGGTATGACCAGCCCCTCCTCTTAGGGGGCCCGGGGCATAGGCCAGAAGGTGACTAAGGTATCTTCCTTTGCTCCGGAGCCTGGCAGGGCCCACGTGGAAGTGAGGTCTGACCGGAGATTGCTGTCCACTGTTCTCTACGTGCGCTTAGGAACTGTTCAGAAAAAGGCCAGGCTCTGGGTCCTGGGGCTTTTAGATGGCGAACAGAGGGGCAAGAGGGACCTTCCCTGAGGTCAGGACAGAGAAAGAGGCAAAGAGCTGCCAAGAGAAGGGGCTGCCTCCTGGCCTCCATCCTCGCACAATACAGAGAGGAGGCTATGCTTGGTCCCTGGGTCCCTCAGCCTCTCAGCCTCGAGACAGCCCTGGGTCCTCAGTCCCCAACATCCTGGGGTCTGTCCTCACTGTCCTACGAGGATGTCACTTTCATACATCATAGCTGAACTGCCTACGTGCCCTCCCTGTCTGCGTTAATGACACTTCTGTTCTCCCAGGCAGAAACCCTGGAGTGACCATTGTCTCTTGATCTCCTGGGTCAGGCTTTGTGGCTTCTTTTGGCCCCTCGTCTCTCTCACCTGTCTCTTCCTTTCCCACCTCACTGCCTCCTCCTAGTTCCCCTCATCTGCTATGCAGCAGCCTTGGAGTGATTTTCCCTGCACATACTACTCTTTACCTTGACCACCAGGTTCATCATACCACTTTTAACATGTCGCTCCCTGCTCAAAAGCCTTTACTTGATTATGGGATAAAATCCGACCTGGACATTTAGTGCTAACTACAGTCCGCTTCCATCTGGCCTTGCTGTTCTCTGCCTCAATGTCCCTGACGTATGCAGAAATCCAGATGGGGCAGCCCCTTCTCGGTCGCCACAGCCCTCCACATTAACTGGTCACTTGACCTGCATGCATGTCGTCTGCTGTAGCTCGGGTGCACAACTATGGGAGCCTCCCCTCACTCCCGCCCACGGCTCCTGGTTGGGGTGAGGCGAAGCCAGCATTGAAAACGTTAAGGGAGAGGAACTAGTCTAAGCCTTCCGTTTAAAGATGAAGAAACTAAGGCGAAGGGACGCAAGGCGACTCGCCAGGATCAAGTACACAGCGAATCAAAGCCAGGGCTCAGCCCCTCCAGCTCAGGCACTGCCCCACTCCGCATTTCGCTGGGGCTTGCACCCCTTGGGTGGTCCATAAACCAAGCGAACCGACCGGAGAGACTGGGCGAATGGGTAAAGCTGGGAAAGGAGAGCTGAGAAAGGGGAGGGTGGGGAAGATGCGCGGGCGTCGTCAGCTGCCGCGCGGGCTGTGGCAGGCCTAGCAGAGCCCCCTACCCATCGGGCCGGGCCCAGACTCACTTTGCCGAGAGCGTGTTGATGGAGCCAGTGACAAGCATGAGCCCAGCCAGGAACAGCTGGTACTTGGTCCAGGCCATGGCGGCGGAGGCGGGGAGCACAAAGCTGCAGATACCCACCCCCACCGCGACCTCTGCGATCACTTGAAGCTGCAGCCCCTGACCCGGTCACCTGGGGGTCTCGGGTGCGAGCGCTTCCGGGCCGGGCGTCACATGACCCGCGTCGGCCCCGCCCCGTGCCGTTGCGCTCCGCCTCCCGCAAGGGCGCGGGCGTCCGTAGCTGTGTTCGCGGGGTGGCAGTGCCTGCCCTCTCTAGGGCCCGAGCTGGTCGTGCTGGTCTCCACAGGGTGACAGTGGCAAGTCACGGGCCCGGCTTTCCCCATTTGTAAAAGAAACCGATGGGACGATGCAGTGAAAATGCACCGTGGATGTTAGAGCGTTTTATAAACCGTTTATAGAGATTGAGCTGAATGATGTCAGAGGCAAACTACAAAGTGGACATGTCCAGCGTGGGAATCTCCTCTCCACACGGTACCCAGGGAATTCTCGGGAGGCCTGGGACGTGTCCCTAGGGATCCCAGTCCGCAGGGTTGCTCACATCTTACAGAAAAGTGGTGTAGGAAGCTCCCGGGAGACCATTTTATAGCTAGGGACACTAAACTGAGAGAAGCCTAGTGATTTGCTTATGATCATAATGGTGATTGATGAGGTGGGAGTTTGCACCCAAATTCTTCAGTAGTCCCAAATCCGTGCCTTCAACTCAGCCCGTCCCCGAAGTTCACCCCGTCCCCGAAGATCACCCCACTGCTTCTTCATGGAAAGGATGCTGCTAGGAGGCAATCACAGCAGAAAGACAGGTTTGTTTGCAGAGGCTTTCTGGCTTTTACAACCCTACTCCTAGTTCTCAGCCCCCAGGGGTGCACTGTCCTCATCTCCAGGTCTCCTGTCTGCACCCCATACCTGTCACACTACAGACTGGAGCCCAAGGCCTTCCAGGAACTGCTTCAGACCTGATGGGCACATTTCTTCCATCACTGCAAATCTTATTACTAAAGGTGCAGAGATAGGGCCTGCCTACCAACTCTTTCTGCTTACTCTAAAGACTGCCTCGAACTTGTGAAAATGACTAGCGTTGAATCAGAAAAATTCTCAAGGGACTGCACCAGACCCTTTTATTGCAGGAAGACCTGACAGAGAAGATGTATAAGTGGGATTCTGGACAAAATGTATGAAGTTACCTGATAAACAGGGGAAGGGGTTTTCCAGAGGAGGGAATGAACAGAGGTATGACTGGACATGGAGTATGTCAGACCCGCAAACCATCTGGGAACTTTCCTTCTCTAGAGCCTGTTCTTCTAAGTCAGTGGGGAAAATGAGAGACCCAGAGAGGTTTTGTAAGAGCTTCTTGCCTAAAACAGCACTACTAGTTTCATGTGATTTAAAAAGAATTAATTTGATTATCTGAAAATATTTACTGAGATTCTGAGGCCTATAGAGATGAACGAAGCACAGCTTCTGTCCCAAGGGGCAGGCCGGTGCAGTCCACACCAGCTGGACAGCCTCATCCCTTTCAGAGGCAGTTCCTATAGGCCACAGTGACATACTCACTGGCGCTTGGACCATTTTCCCCACGTTTGTCCAAGCCAAGGGCACTGTTCTGAAGGAAACATTACGAATGATCAATGGTGTCTCCAGTCCGACATGATGTCACTAGAAGCACAGTCTCTGTCTATCTCTATAGCCACAAAATAACATGGACTTTAATTTATCACCATGTTCTGACCATTCATCAGACTGCTGTCTCTGGAGCCCAGGAGACAGGAGAGTTTATTTGCAAAAACACATGGAGCCCACTACGTGCTAGGCCCCCAGTCAGACATGAGACCCCCAAAGACAAGTGAGATAACGTCCCTGCCTTCAAGGAGTTCAGGATTTTATGGAGAAGAGGAGTGAGTCCGCAGGTAACCATGAAGCAACATGAGGATTGGTAAGAGGTGGAGGGAGCTGGGAAAGGGATGATTCCTCAACAGAGGCGGAAGCGAGGAGATGACAGTGGCGATCAGAGCTGTCCTGGATTAGGTGCCCAGTTCTGTGTCTGCTTGTGCCGGGTGCTTGACCACTGTGGCATCATTTCTCACGGCAGCCCTGTGTGCTGAAACTCAGGGGAGATTTGAGCAGGGGCTTGAAGGAGGAGCAGATTTGCTCCAGGTGGAGAAGGGGGTCATTTGGGGTGAAGACAACCATGTGGACACGAGGGGGGAGACCAGCCAGCCCTCATGCTCGAGAGTGACCTATAGTGAGGCTCCGGGTCTCTGCCAGCCTGGCTAGACGGGGCTTTACAGGTGAAAACCAGGGTTGACATTTGTGTCCACAAGTAACAGAACGCCTGGAGTTAAGGTATCGGAGACTCAGGATCCAGGAATTCTTAGAAAAGTAGAGAAGAATCAAGGTGGATGTGTTCATATATAGACTTTGCAAAATCCTTCAGATTATTTGATTAAATTTTGGGATAGAGCTTAATGTAAAGGCTGGATACAAATTTGTCTCATAATTTTAGAAGCCAGTGATTTCCTGGATTAAATAACATGCTCACAAAGCAAACCTGAGACCTCTCTGAGTCTTTAGCAAGTCAAAGGTGGGCCGGCCCCTTTGTGTGGTGACCTTGGCCATCAGAGGAGCACTTATTTCCTAACTGCTCCGATTTGATCGTCCTGATTAAAAACTACAGCTTGCTGAAGATCATGAAGATCTGGATTACATGAAAGAAGCAAATTTACAAATTTTCAGCAAAGGGAGGAAATTTACTGAGCGTTAGGGGTGCCCCTTCCACAGAATCTTCACGTGTGTGTGGTGGGAGGCAGTAGACAGAGATGGGAATCTCTTCGTGTACCCCTGAGAGTAGTACACGATCTTTACAAGTGGAAATGACATTGTGCAAGTTGTCCAGACTAGGACAGAGAAGGCCGCTTCAGGCTGGAAGGGGTCTGTTGCTTAGAGCAAAGTGACCACGGTTCAGTCCCTTGATAACTCAGAGCCCTACTTCCTATCTGTAAAATGGGAAGGATAATATTTACAGCTTGTCATGCAGCGGGAAGGAGGACAGAAGTGGAGGTCTGTGGGAGAATTAGTATAGCTGGTGTGAGGTCAGGACCAATCAAACAGAGAGGTATGGGAAAGACCTGAGGCTGAACATTAAAAAGCACTTCTCATGATTTGCATAAGTGCATGATCCAGTCTTTGAGCCTTTTCTGCCAAAGTCAGGGACACTTTGAACAAATTTGCATGCTACCTTCAAAGAGCCTCTAATTTCCAGAGTCAATTAAATGCATCAGTGCAAACCCCTGTATTAGTATGCAAAACTTACAGCAGGCTGTGTCTTGTCTGAAAGATTGAACATTTTCCCAATCAATTTAATCACATTCTAGCTTAGGAGAGGGTTATTTTATCTTGGGAAGGACAGAGACAGTCCACATCAGACCTGTTTTGTTTAGGACAAGTTTTTGCTACATGTCCTTGGGCTTTTTCTCTAGTGCGTAGCTTGTTCCCCTGGTAGAATGTGACCATCTCATGGGCAGATGACAAAGATTCTTTGTTTGACCAAACTTTAGTCAAGTTCACGAACCTTCTCCTAGGCCCATCTGTATACTTTCTTATAAAATCCTACTGAGTCAATTTAGCCAGAACCACCCCCCCTCCCCTTCATATCTGATCACTTTAGATATCTCATTCCCCTCCCCGCTTCCCCCCAGGGGAAGTCTGAGCACCATGACCTGCCTTCAGCAAGGATCCTGTTAGGTAGGTTTAGCCAGAATCCCCCTACACCTGATATTTCCTTTTAGTAATATTCTATCCATTGACCCCACCCTACTACTTGGCTATAAATCACCACTTGCCTATCCTGTATTTGGAACTGAGCTCTGTATAGCTCTGCACGGACTGAGATCTCTTTTCCCCTATTGCAATATTGTTTTTATTGCTTTAACTACTGTCTAGTTCTGGCTTTTCTTTGACACACGATTGGGTATTCAGATCCTGTCTCTCCCAAAAGGATGAGCATTGCAAGGCAGCCATCTGAGGCTTTGGCTGGGAAGAGGAGCGAGGGCCTTGGGACGAGGAGGGCAGGGTAGGGCCTGGCTGTCTCCTGGGGGAGAAACCGGGACAATGAAACCAGGCCTGACAGGACCTAGCCAGGAAAGGAGATGTGGATGGTCTGTACTGGTGGAGAGGCGGTAGCTATTGTTTATCAGCACTTGCTGGTGGACTTTTTGTCTGGTTTCTATGGTGACTGAAGATGATTAGATCAGGAGTCACCTGCTTTTTCTAGCTTTGGGTCCTCATAAAGTCATTCTCAAACCTTTCTTCTTTGCTTTTCTTTCTTAACATCGTCTTTCGTCCCTAACACCCCTCCCATCAGTGCTGATCATTAGATGTAGGATGCGTCACTGGATCCAGGAAGCTGGTATTTGTCTTGGTCTTTGGGAGCAGGATCAAGTCAGATCCAGATAAAGCATGGACTCCTACTTAAATTTGATTTCCGATAAGCAATGAATAATTTTTTTTTTTTTAGTGTAAGTATATCCTCGATATTGTTTGGGGATATACTTATACTAAAAAAAGATTCATTATTTATCTGAAACTCAGATTTAATTGGGCATCCTGTATTACATTCGCTCACACTGGCAGTGCTGCTGGTATGGCACCCAGCTCAGTGCCCTTGCCTGGAGAAGGTGAACCATGATCTCAGCTGCATCGACTTGGTGTGTCTCAGGCAAATGTCTTCCTTCAAATATGCTGTTGCATAAGCTCACGATATTTTCTTCCTCTGACTCCGTGAAGCCTCTAAATTGATACCAGCCCTTCTGGAGGTGGGTCCCACACCAGGCAACCCCCAGGCTTCTGTGTTTAATGCCCTTCTGACTAGAAGTGAGGGCCAGGGGCATCTATAGGAGATTCTGAGGCAGACAAGGTTGAGAACTCTCCCCTCTCGCACACAGTTTCAGGGTATGCCGGTACCCCATGCAGCCTAGATGCAGATCCCCTGGAGGGAACACGTGATCTAATCCAACCCTCGTGCTTGTCAGATTAGGAAGC